TTTATGTATACTGGAGGAATCTGATGAGTTATAAATCTCCTTTTTACAAATGTCCAGTCGGAGCGTGTCAGAATAATTGCCTATTGGTTAGAGTGATAGGAAAGTGAAACTTTGTGGAAGGAACAATGCCCCCAATGTCAGCCTATCACCTATATATTTCTGTTATAAGGCAGTGTTTACGATGAATGTGAGAAAAAAAATCTTTGTTTAAAAGTTCTCTAAATATCAGCACGGCATCTGCTATGAAGTCCAAAGTGATGTTCGCATGTACACGTACGGCCAGATTGTCAATCTACCAGCTGCCGGGTAAAGGGCTTCCTTGTGCCGCACAATGTCATGGCCGTTATTTGACCACACTTCATCGTACTGGTCAATGCGGGCTTGTGAAGTTTGGGGGGGGGGGGTGCAGAACAATAGGGATTAGTTTTTTGGTTGCACTGCCCACATCACCTGCCACACTTGTTCTGTTGTTATTTGTGGTCACACCCATCCAAGCAATATCCACGCTGCACCCTGCTTATGACAACGTTATTTTATTGTAGAGAGACTATGTGTTGTCTCTTGCTGTGGTCTGGGGCTGTTCTTGCTGTTGTTTTGCTGCCTTGCACAAGCTTTGGAATTGGTTTACTTTTGAAATTTGAACTTATATATTTGATCTATTTTACGTATTTATTTTTAGTGATTTGCTTATCTTTCCTATACTTTGCACCCTTTAGATTTTTTGTATTGATTTTTGTTTCTAACTTTCTGACCCGCCCCTACTGGACAGAGGTCATCGGCTTTCTCCAGGATATATAAAGATTCTGAATCTGATTCTTCCCAAGCCTGATGGGATCTTGTGCATTCTGAGCGATTTGATCAAATTAAGAAAAGCTTCCACGTTCGCGTCCTGTTCAGCAATGGCGGAACACCACTCGTCAGCCGAAATTAATGGGTTCCCCTGGGGAACAACACAAATACCCTGCACCAACGCTGTTGTGGTGAGAGCCGTTCATTAAGGGGGAACAACAGCCTGTTCTTATGTTGCTGTACATACAGCTTGTGGGAAACTGAAGTTGCATAGGCCCGAGAAATGCAATTTAAAGATGATGCAGAGCGTGTTGTGGTGAAGGCCGAGTGTAGTGGCATCCACGGTGTTGTAGTTGTGGTATTTCTGTTGATTGCTATTGAATTGTTTGAAGAGAACTTGGGTAGATGGGATTGTTTTTGTCCTTTATTCGGTGTTAAAACAAGGATGTAGAAAATCAAAAGCGAATTTCAATGAGTGACATTCACAATACACGGTGCTGAGGTAAAAAGGAAATTTTATGGAAAAGTTTCCAACGGGGACCTTTTGTACTTGAGCTCATTTTTCAAAACACTACTTTTTGAATCTCACGCAATTCAATAATTATTTGAACTCATGGGAAATGCATTGACTCAATTTGCTGAGAAAGTCATGCCAGTATTGCATTGCCAATTCTCATGGGATATTTAGCAGTTTTTTTACCGGTTGTGATTGGGCACATTTGATAATATACAATAATGGTTTGAAAGTATATTTGGCTGCTGTAAATTTCCACAGAACAAGCCACTTTGTAGAGATATAATTTGTAGCCAGTTTGTTTCTGAAAAAATATCTCTTTAGCTCAGTGGGCCTTACCTGGTAAAATAAGAAGCTACGTTTTTAGTTTAGAAGAAATTTGAAGTGTAAGGGGAAAAATACTCTAATGCTTAGATTATTTGCGTGCGCGCGAGAGACATTTTAAAGTTAAGTACGCCTTGCCTGGAGTGTGAGTGTGTGACAAGTTACAGTGCTTCATTTGTTTTGCGTTAAACCGAAGCTATGGGCAGGAGGATATATTACACCATCGCTCCTGTCAGATGTGACCTTAAAACCAATAAGTTCTGTCCCAACCATAGCTTAAAAATATGAGCCCTACGTTACAGGATATATCTGAAATGTGTCACTAAATGGGTACAGTGATTGCTTGATTCACCCTATGTTATTGCTCATTCAGCTGGTATGGTTGTGTTGAATGTTAAGGAGTTTTTTTAATCCATTAATTCTGTCAACGACAATGGCTATTTTGATTGTGAAATTTAGGTGAGGTTCAGATACCACTTGCCCCTGTTTATGAAACGTGGTTGTCTGGGAGCGCATCACCTTCGTGCTAACCGCTGAACTTTATTGGCTCAAGCATAATAGAGCTTAATTTCCAAAGTCCAGAGACAAAGCCAGCAACCACAGCACATCTCACCAGGTACTTGTTTCAAGCTGTAGCCACTGTACCACTGCAAGCCACTGCACCATATACACACCGTACATAGACAAAGATCCCCCATATAGCCTTTAGCAGACTGTTTAGGGCAAGTGATGTTAGCAAGTAGCACCTATGAAGGCCGGCACGGTACACGAAGAGGATGGGTGGCCAGCACCATGCCCCACCGCCTTTGTCTCCCCAGTGGCGATGTTTACGCACCGCACCAGGTACTCATTGGAGGCTGAGTCGACCTAGGGGAGGCCCAGGACCTATTCAGATAATCGTACTTGGTGTTGGCCGTGAGCGAGAAAACGACCTCAGGTCACCGGGTTCATAGCGCGGCACACTAACCGCTCCACCACCGCTCCCCACGAGCATGCACATTTACACACTGTACACAAACATCCATATATACATCACACGTGTAGTGAGCTCTGCGGTTCAGAAAGAAATACGTTTTTGTCTTCGTAGAAGAGCTTATCCACAAAACACTTTTGTGTGAATGTCTGCTGGGGATTTGTGGAGCCAGGCATTGATTGAAATAAAGCGTAGACGCAGGGCAAGCGTGCATATATATTAAAATATATTGTTAAGAATTTCACTCGGAGCAATGGGGAGGGGCGGTGCCAATTTTCCCCGTACAATTTAATGAGTTGGCCATTGCAAGTCACTTAAAAAAAATCTACTTTCAAGGCTCGACCTTTGTGTTAACTTCCTGTCACATTATAATGCAGCCGTCTGGCTGAAAGTACAATTGATGGGACAACAGAAGATTTAAAAATATCCCTGCATGTGAGCCTCCGGCTGTACAATCTTTTATATACTGTCTCTAAAAGGCTCGGATGTAACATTGACAATAAGAATCAATTTACGTTTAAGTAATGCCCCGGTGAGCACAAACTAACTAGCGGGCATTAGGCTGCCAGTCGGGGGTGTTGATTGCTTCTCTGTGTAATCCCAATTAAGTGATTTGTGGGTAATCTTCAAATTTGCCAAATTTGAACCAATGCGCACATATTGGCCAACTCGTTTTGTAACGACGTCAGTGGATTTTTAACGTTCGCTGTGACCCAGATGGCGAGTATTTCATGGGTGATACACACCGCCGCAGTAGTCACTAGGGAAACCTGCTGGATTCGAACTACGAACATCAGCAACGATTGGCGAAATATGCCTACCCCTGTGCCGTGTCAGCGCCCCCATATGCAGTTAAGATTAATTGCTCTAAATTCTACTTATTCTGGCTTTTTGGTGACTTGCCTTTTCTTTAGTCAACTTTCTTGTTTGCTGACAATTAATATACGTGTAACACCTTTGTGCTTAACATTGGCTTAGAACAGACTTTATTTCAGTAGGTTATTGTTGTGGGCTATGGTCCTTCCGATCTCTGCAGAGCGTTGTTGTCTGATTCTAGAATTGAAGCTTTCGTGACTGCAAGGATTCATATTCTTAGGTTTTTTCGGTAAAGTCACGTAGGTGAAAGAATTAATATTAATAAAATAAAAATAAAAAACACGACGTTTCGGAGGCAACACAAGCTTCCGTCTTCAGGTGGAACAGTCACAGCACGATAGCTGTATCAAGTGAGAGAAATTCCAAGAAAACCGTATTTTTATATATACTGGTTGAGGGTGGGAGGAGCCAAGGTAGGCCCTGAATATTATTTTTTGTGAGGTTCGGTGCGGCTGAAGCACGCTGTTAGGAAAGAGCCTTTGTTGTGTAAACTAGGTGCGGATGATGTAAAGGTGCATGTAAAAGGGACTGAGCCTTTTTGTTATGTAGAGATGATGCGGCTTAAATCGCTGCCAGGAAATTAGTCTTTGTTGTGTAGAATGGTTGACTGAGCCTATTATTATGTAGAGGTGGTGCGGCTTAAATCGCTGCCAGGAAATTAGTCTTTGTTGTGTAGAATGGTTGACTGAGCCTATTGTTATGTAGAGGTGGTGCGGCTGAAATCGCTGCCAGGAATGCTCCAAATATGTGTAGTTAAATCTTTTTTGCATGGCTAATAACATCTTTCCAATGATTACTAAGTTTGTACCCATCATCACGGTTGAAATTATGTCTGTGTTTGTATATTTGGATGGCCTCGTGTCCAAACCTTTGATGGTAGCAAGGAGGCTTGCAGAGCACCTTAGTCTCGGAAAAGACAATTTCATGGGAGCCCACAGCGTTGTAGCAATGATCGGCAATGGCGGAAGAATCAGTTTTGCCGTTTTTCAGATCTGACTTGTGCTCGCGGACACGATCAGAGATATGACGTTTCGTTTCTCCAATGTAGCAATCACCACAACTGCAACTCAGTTTGTAGACTCCAGGGTATTGTAAGTCAGGAATGACATCTTTGTCTGGTACGTTAGAGAGCGAGCTGTGCTAAGAACCTCGGTGAACTGACTACGATTGTCAGCCACGACCAACATCATCGGCCAGTGATATCAGAACCGGTGCCTCCGCATCCCCCATTCACCAACACACACCGACCAGCATGGTGAAGTATGGCCAACAAATCCCTGTGAAGTGACATGGTGTGGTGGGGGAGACCATCAATTGGTGGATTGAGAAAGTGGCTGCAATATGTTCAATCTTTGTTTGACCTAATTGAGTGCACTGTACATGGTCTATTAATGATGACAGCGGTCGTGCGTTTCTCATTTGTACTCGTACGCTACCGGCAACGCAATCGCTTAATCATTTACGCGGCATTTAATATTCATGCGCTTCCCCCCCCCCGCCCTTTGTCCACCCCAGCAGCGTCGCCACCGTCGGCCAACGGCCTGAACCGCTCTCCCGCTGCTCCTCCTCCTCCGTCGAGCGGCCACCCGTCGTCTCTCGAGCCCCTGGGCCGCAGTCGCAGGGGAGGCCCGGTGGGGGGCGCCGGGGGGGCGGCCGTCACAGCCGCGGCCGCACCGACCTCCTCGGCGGGGGCCATGTCGTCGTCGCCGCATGTGGACCCGGACGTGAAGCCCGGCGAGTTCGTGCTGCGCTCCCTCATCGCCGAGTTCACGGTGCACGCCGAGCTCAAGTTGCACTCGGTGCTTGTCGAGTCGCTGGTGAGTGGGGCGGGGGGGCCGCCACGCGTCAGTCACAAACTCGCCCGCGGAACTGCCCATCGCATCCTGTGGAATCCCTACAGCTTTTGGCTAGCCAAGTTTTTTTTGTGCAGGTCTCATTAATTACACACAAAGTGCTTGCCACAAGTGAACCACAATATCTTGCTGATCACGTGAAGGAGCACAAACCATCGTGCGAACTCGGTCATCCCCGTAGCAGTTTTTGGCTGGCCATCAAACAAAGACGGTCACCGCATCGCACGCTTTCAAATGCACTTCTGCGGCCGTCTAGAGTGCTCTGCCTTCCAATATTACGGAAGCCACTGGAGCTATGCACTTTTAAATAATCTAGAATGAAAACCCATTTCTATAGATCTTATTTTTGTGTTTAGTTCGTTCTCCTTCCCCCAGACCTACAATTAGCACGGTTGGCTACGTATGGTGCATAGCTCCAGTGGTTTCCTAATATCGTGAAGCCACTCTGAACATCGGTAAGCCACACCCATGCCCCAACTGTATATTTAGCATCTTGCCTTTACCCGGTTCTTTTTTGGAGTGTTTTGCATGTATATGGAGAAAATATCAACTTAAATACCCACAGACGTGTCAGGATTCTGCCTTCCCTGCTGCCATCTTTTAGCCACTGTGTAGCTCAGTAGTTTGGGAATCTTTCAGCACATGGTGATCTCTGAATCATCCACTAACCCTACCTCAGAAGTGCTGAATTACAGATTTAAACTACAAGCCCACAGAGATGATCCTATGGATAGTCTGGCCCCTGTTATAAGATTGTGGAAATTTGTAAGCTGGTTTGAGGAACCCAACGAATATAAGTACACCGTCTAACACTCCAATTATCCTGATTTATATGATGCATTATTATTAATGTATGTCACAAACTAAAAAGGACATCAATGTATCCTCCAACTGCGAACACAATTGTAATCTTAACCGTATCCATAATTCCCTTACATAACACTCTCCGTCGATTGGCCCATTGTGAGTCTCACGTTATTTTGAATGAGAAAACTTGTTGCAAAAACACAAAGCACCGTCAAATTGAGACCAAGCTGGCATTGCTCGTGCAAAGTAGAAAATCACTTGCATTTTTCAATAGGGCTCACTGTGTGTGTGCGCGCGTGCATGTCGTGTGCATGCCCTTCATGGTGCGATGTGATTTTTTGAATGAATGCTGCACATGCCGATATTATTAGTCGTGGTAGTAGTACGGTTAATGCTCTCATTCGCATGGCAGAGTTAAGGCGTTATAATGGCTTAGATGTCATTTACTTTCTCAGCCAAGTTTCTTCTTTTTTTCTTGTCATCACATTCTTTGCATCGTGCACTCACGCCAGGCTAATCGCGCACGTCCAAATGGAACGCAGCTATCTCAGTTGGCACCAACGCATTCCATGCTGATATCTTGTACCGAATGTATCGCCATGACCATGTAAAGACATGACCTAGCGTGTGTGGATATTCTACGTTGTTATTGCTGCAATCTTCATTATATCCTGCCTGGTGGTGTCGTGGGTAGATCGCACAAGTAACAGAAGGCTTAAAGTTGACATTTCAAGTGGTAACCAGTTAATCTTTCATCCATCTGGGGGTGATAAATTGTGTAACGATTTGTGGAAATTCAACAGTGGTTGTCCTATGGTGAGACAGATCCCTTCTCGAAGAAAGGTTTCTCTATAAGCTCGTTAAAAAGTGGTAATGTGAGTGACATGCATTGCAGGTTTATTAAAGTGGGTGGAGTGCGCAAACTTGGTGGGTGTTTAATTACAATAAGCCATCATAGCCAATTTATATATTTTTTTTATCATGATGCTTGTTTACCTAGGAAAGCCTCACTGAGCCTCAAGACATTTTCAGGCGAGTCCTGTCAAGTTTTCTTAGTAGGGGGTGATATTGCTGTATGTAATGCAAATTAAATTGCATTTCATAATTCAGCATTGGGATGCTTTGGCATATATATTTATTATATGGTTTTCCTTTGAAAAAAAACAGAGAACTCAGGAAAAATCCCATGCAGGACAGGAGGACATAACACAAACTCCGCACACAGAAAGGAAGCAGAGTTGGGAATTGACCCCGAGGGCGTCTTACTGTGAGGCGCAACTGCTCTGCAACTAGGCCCAGACTGTCCAGAGGGCAGCAGTCCATAGGGCAAATGCCCTTTGGGGCTGGTCTATGTGGGGAAACTGGAAATGTGATCAGAGTAAAACATTTGAATATACATTTTTTTATTAAACTATTTTACTACCTCTAATTTGCACGCTTCATTGCTTATTTAGGTTCTTAGTAGGCAATAAGTCCAATATTCGGCAGCCCCAAAGATTTTTCCTAACCGGCCTATTTGATTTTAGACCCAGCTCAAATGGGCCAATAAGATGGCACTACAAAATCACGCTAATATGTCACAACACAATTCTACCTACGAGTATACATTTTGTCGCACAGCCGATTTTTTGTTCATTAAAAAAATAATTTCCCATAATCCCGAATTTGGGCCGGTGTGTTTACAAATGCTGGGGCCGATTTTATTTCTCCCAGTCCATCACTTGCCTGTAACACCCATGTGACGGAGCTAGACCGCATCGACAGTTGCATCAGAAGGTAAACCATACTTCACCGGTGAATCAACGTAGTTATTTTTTTCAGTGTTTACCTGATAAAATATATATTATTAACACAACGTAAATAATGTCCACCGTAATTAAAGACACATTTTAACATTGAGTGCTGTACGGAGAACCAAATGTCAACCCATTTTATGTACCCCATGTGTTGGAGGATTATTTTACACTAAACCTACTCTCTTTCCATTTATCTGTATACTTTATAACACGGAGCATCCCGTGTTTGCATTGGTCCCCGCATGAGGCTATAGTGTTACGGTGTTGTCGCTAATTGCACTACATTTCAACATTTCAAGAGTACGGCGGGACACAACTCAGCTTCTTCTGTCAATTTAGTGCCAAAATACGTTGTTCGTAAAAAAAACACATTTACAATGTGTGGTGTATAACCCACATATGAGATGATGATTACTGGTGGTTGAAGGGTCATCTTTCACGTCGAATACATTTCATCCATTTGACAAGGTGAGAGTTAATGGATGTGGAGGACAAACTTGTACAGAATCATTAGCTTACTGCAATTGAAATGGTACCTTTATTTCTGCAGTTGAGCATTATATGCACGCAAAAACATTTTCGGGATGTGTGGGAATTTGAGAATCAGAATCTTGATTTAAGCTGGAGGAATCATATGAGCCTGTGAAGCTCATTTTTTCCACAGATGTCCAGGAAACCTCTGATACCAACACGTGCAGCTCTCGCACCAGTGAGCCTGGCTTGGGTAGGACGCGTCGCTAGAAGGGATGATGGCCCATGGTCAAAAATGCTGATGGAGTGACAGCTAATGAAAGGGATGCATCCGAAAGGATGTTGTACACCAAGGAGATGGTGGGTTAAACCCGGGTCATGGAGTAGAAGCTCGGTAGATTGCTACGTCGCAGGACTGTGAGAGATGGCGACGGATTAGGGGAAGGCCTTCAACCAGCAGTGGATTGATTGTGGGTGATGAATACTGATGACCAGCGCACATGCTTTTTGTTATGCCCCATCACTCTATGGATTTCGTTCGTCGATTTTTTTTTCCCCATTCTAATCACTGTCATCACGGGCATGATATAACCATCGTTATCCTCAATTTGGAAAAGAGACTCATGGAATACAACTCGGCATGCAAAATGGCTGTGGGTGAACTAATTGGCTGTTATATCCATGGCTTTATAAGTGTCTATACAGTCATCTTCATTGCCATCAGCATCATCGTCACCACCATTGTGATAGCGGTCCACCAGGGCACAGAATGCTGCATTATGGAATCGGTCAAACGTCCCAAAAAATACTTTGCCAATAAAGACAGTCGAGACTCAGTCTAGGCTTTTCCAGATAAATAAATAGACATATTGTTGTTATTATTATTATTAGCTGGAAATGTCATGCGATTGCCCTTTAGATATGTTGCTCATGGATAAATTGTACCAGATAATGTCCTGCTCAGTGTCTGTGGAATGAATCACAGAGCAATTATGTAAGTCTGCCCTTTCCTCTATCCCTCCCACTCATTCCCTCCGTCTCCCTTGCATTACAGCACTCACATCATAACCATGCATCCGTGACTACGTGATGTGTGCGTATATATACGGTGTACAGTGTCATCTAAAAAACACATCTGGAAAACACAAATTGTTACATGGTATGTGATCTAATGCACACATTTGTTCACCAAAGCCGATCTCTGTGCATTGGTGTAGATATTTCCAGCAGGTAGCATCTTCCAGAGCGGTTTCATGGAACGCATATCACGAATATTCACACTGTGGCCTGGTAAACTGTAATTCAGAAAGGGCGTCACGTATCTGACCGTGCCATATCCACTCTGACCAAGTAACCGCCCACACCCATGTTAGTATTTTTGCACTGTGTAATTATCATTGCCCACCGGTGCAGATTTGCGATAATATATTATACACTGATGAGAATATCTTAATCTTTATTGGTAGCCGTAATGGCTACAGCAGTGAGAATTCCACATTCCTATGACGTGGATTACTCCTTCGGACCAAACGCTGTTGATTTCCCACAGTTATGTTCTCGACATCGAGAGATGATGGGCTGAGTTACCCTATCATTTATCAACCTTGTAATTGGTAGTGAAGTGCATTGACCACAGAGCCGCTCAGCCAGATTGTACCTGAAGGTTAGAAACAGGAGTATAATGGTGGATTGTGGGGGATTTATTACGAGGGAAGGCAAGGGCAAATATCAAACATTTAGCATAACAATGATTCGTCCCTGACACGATGTAATGAATTGTCATCATAGAGGGTCACAATTTCCTGAAAGAATGGCTTTTATGTGCTGCTGTTGTGGCAAATGTAGTGCCTCTAGTGGCTGCAGGTGTCCACATTGAACCTGTTCTGTATGGAGTATAGAATTTATATCTGACCAAATCACCTGGACTAGACATCTGTAAAAAAAACTACTGGACATCTGTGAACAAGCGTTTTATATCTCATCGGATTCCTCCAGTATAAATAAATATTCTATTTCTGATGTGCTGCCACGTCTATACTGTCCGCCTTCACCAAACCGCACTCCGTGACTCATACGGCACACAGAGGCCTTGATCCAGTAGTGGACTTTAAAAAGGGATCTACATCTACGTCCATGCAAATACACAAAATCTTTCCGTGCACGCATCATGATTCCATGCATGCACCGACTCAACCAGGGATTTGTTGCTGCTGCTGCTTAGCACGCCTGGGGTCGTTTTTGCGGCATGATGCAACGCTTCCGTTTTTAGCCCCGGGAGCTGCGACCCGAGACACAGTGAACCCATGGGGGTGAGAGCAGTGGGAGCTATATCCAGTTACTAGGAAATGCTTGTTTTGTTGGCCTACGGGGCGGGCTCCCGACGACTTGGTGGGAAAGTGGAGGTTGTGTGTGCGCTCTTGCTTAGGAATGCGAGCACCGTGTACTGGGAGGAATTATTATTTCTGGGTACACCACAACGTACGTTATTGTATGCAGAACTTCCTTCGCACCGTACATAGCCGAGCGTGCTAATCGGAGATGCGGGGCTGCTGCCATGGTGCAACGGTTCACACATTGAACCCTCTTTAACTCCCCCCCCCCCCCCCGCTTATGTCCATCTAGCAATATAAATGGGTACAACGCAGTCGATTGGCGGGCCTTGGGTGTGGGTAACTGGTACCCCTTCAAAGACGTCTGGCCAGTGCGGAAGAAGTAGGCATGATGATGTACACGTACATCATCAGTTTTTCTTCCGATTCCATTCCGCTTACGTGCGTTTACCTCTTTGGGACGGAATCGGAAGTAAAAGACCGTGTGGGAGTCCGTGTGGCACAGTCTGACGCCAGCTATCGTAGGGTGCGGTCGTGTCGCTACAGTTATGTGCGGTGCATACAGTCTTACAACAGCGGCGCTATGCCTCTCTAAATAAATTAACGTTGAACTGCTTGCGCGTTCCGAGATTCAGCGGCGAACGGGACCCACACCCTGGAAGTATTCACCCTGGAAGTGTGAATAGGAGCTCTCTGGAACTCCCTCTCATGGAAGCTCTCCTGCAAAAAGTGGCGTGATGAAGCTATTTCAGGGCTGCACCTTTACCTTTTTGCACTACATGTATTCATCTGATTGCGAGGTGCTGGAGCAGAGTGCTTGATGCACAGTGGGAAGGTTGCACGTTCAAACCCCAGTCAGTGAGTCACTTTGATCCATCACATTTATGACGTTGATTAAATGAATACCGCTTTGTGGGAAGTGAGCAGTATTTGTCCTGTGGATGGACCATTTATTTCCTTAGTAATGTAGAATTTCAATGACATGTCAGGAATACGAGTGATTTAGATTCACCTTAACTGGCAAATGATTTATTTGAACACATTTGCAAAGTCGATTATCATGGTTAGCTACGTATGGTGCGAAAGAAGTTCAACAAACATAAGTGGCATTTACATGATTTAAAAAAAGAATCGTCATTGATGTCCTTGTCTTTTTTGACTTTGTGATGACGCTTCCCAAATTGCTAACCGTATGTTCCATGGAGTTCATTGCCACTTTTGTTGAAAAAAAAGTTTCAAGCTCAGACTTTCTTTGCACATCTACATAGTGTAGTTTTATTTCAATACAAAGAGGCAGGCGTGTTGTTTCACTTCCTCATTTTTGCTTTGTACGTATCCTGCAATGCTGCTGCTATGTGCCCGGGATTTTCTCTGTCTCTGGTAAGAAGGACACTTTGGGTCCCTGAGCCTTTCGTTTCATTTTAAGGATCGTCGTAGGCTTTAGCTGCCAGCTTGATGTTTAAGCAGCTGGTTCTGTTTTGGCTCGGAAAATTGCTTATTTACCATGAGTGGTTTATTTTGGCTGACACTTGTTGCACAAAGGTGCGGCCTTTCATTTTTTTCTCTCTAGGGGCTTACAAGACTGGATCAGATGTCCCCACAGTTAATCTGCTGTCTCTACGCGTGTAGCGCTGTCATTACTATGTCAGGACTTGTTGCGTGGCTGGTATGAAGCATTCGCTCGCATCTTTTGAATCCTTGATGCCTGTTTGGTGCAGCATCCGCCGTTGATAGATTGTGCAGTGGAGAGAAAGTGTAGTTTCGAGCGCAGCATCGCATGAATGGGACTTTGACGAAGGCGATGATTTGTGGCGATTTTGGTGCCAACTTGTTTGCTGCATCATTGCGCACACGACATTCCCCCATCACGCCATGTTCCCCATCATCAGAGCTCAGTCAAATACCAGCATTTGATATTCAACTGGCATGCATAGTAGTTGAATACAAGTGCATTTTATGGAAATCTATTGCTGTAGAAATGTGGGCCCTTGTGTATAAAGTGTATGTATGTAGACCTTTCACACCGTACGTAGCCAATCGTGTTAGTTGGAGGTGCGGGGGAAGGACAACAAACTAAACGCAAAAAGCATTTATAAAGAAATTACTTTTAATCTAGATTTAAAAGTGCATAGCTCCAGTGGCTTTCTAATATCAGAAGTGAGAGATTTCCAGATGTCCACAGAAGATTTTAAAGGAACATCTCAGTCCTTTTGTTTAACATTAATGAAGACTACATTGAGCCCAACCACCTACAGAACTTGTATCATAAGCCAAATATTTCACTCAACCTCTGCAGAAGAATTGCGCTGCGTTTCACCAGCCATTGGAAACTCATTCTGAGCCAGGCCGGGCTGTTGTACTGGGTACGGCCCATTGTGGCTCGATCTTTGTCCCCAACGCATCGTGGTGGCAGTGCATTGTCGGCTTGTCTTCTCTCTCCTGAATTGCCCGTGCCCTCATTTCCCTCCATGGCCAAAGAGAAGCAATCATTTGAATTTATTTCATATTTTATCAAGTTTAATATATGGTTGCGTCTAGCTTTTACTACCCCGAGCCAACATCTTAATATTTATTTTAATGCTCTGCAATGTTTAAAAACAAAGGCAGCCGGCGTAAAAGGAGTTGCTTCCTTCACTTGTGCCAATGCATTGGGAACCCGGCGATTTGAGTTTCACCCCGGCCATGGCTAACATCAGTGTCGAGTGATATCTGAACTTATCCCCACTGACCAGAGTGGTGAAGTATGGTCGATCCGCTTCGATGACCAACATGGCATGTGGGGATGTCTAGCGATGAATTCACAGAGTTGTAAATTATGGTTACGAATGACATTGTAAAATGAGAATGGTAAAAAAATCTAATTATAACTCTTGATTTTCCATAATGATGATGAACCATCCGATTGGTCCACGAAGAAGAATATATACTTGAGCCATTGTGCTAAATGTGTAATGTAGCTCTCAGAGACACCGTGTTGTCTTTATATATATTTATTATGAATAAAGACGACTCTATTCTGAGACAACATAGCTCTGGCCTAAAGGGGCCTTACATAAATGACGTCACGCACCTGGGTGGGGGGGGGGTCAGACATTTGTGACGATGTGTGACGAGGGGGGGGGGTTTGAGAAATGCGCAACTTTAAATATAGACAACACGTTCTACTTAATTAAATAGACTTTTTAATAAACGTTTTCTCCTACAACATAAGAGTGCAGCACCACATTAAATACGCACTACAATGACAATAGTTTAAAGCGATTTGAAGCATGTTTTATTTTGGGGGGGGGGGCAGAGCTTTGTGACGCCATCTTTGAGGGGGGGTCTGACTTTTTGTGACGCCGTGTGACGAAGGGGGAGGGGGGGTAAAAAATTGTCCAAAATCGCGTGACGTCATTTATGGACGGCCCCCAAGACAACTCGCAGACGATGGAGACGACCCGTTCCAAGGTGACGCCAACAGCTGGTCGCACGACCAGGCCACGCCCCTATTCTCGAATTCTCGCTCAACGCACCTGGCTCTATCAATCTCCGTCAATCTCCGCCCCTATTACACTTTGCCTGGATCACGTGCTTCCCCTCACGTGACTCTGTCAACGCTTGTCCCATCAATCATCATTAGCACTTCCCTTGGTAACCATGGTCCTGGGGAACCATACTGTCCCTCTATTCCTTCGTACTGTCTTTACAAATGGTTTAATGCAGTTTCAACTGACTGTTCAATGTATTATCAAGACGCCGTGTCAAGTTAATGTGAATGCATTTGGCATACCATAGTAAGGCTTAATTTGAGCCAATTACGCCGGTGAACGGTCATCTCGTTTTTATGTTGAAATGAAAAAATGATTTAGCAATAACAAAGTGTCCTGCATCTGATAAAAAAAACATTCTCAATAACAAAATGTCAGATTAAGACGTGTGCCATTAGCACATGCATAGTACATTTTATTGTTTCTAAACTCTCACGGAGTGTGGTGTTCGTAGACTCAGTGCTCTACGAGACGAGAGCACGATGCGATATTCACGTGGCTTTTTGCATTATCTTGTTTGTGCCTGCAGGAAAAGCCTCTGTCCAAGTCATTACAGAGAGGAGAAGACCCACATTTTGATCAGGTAAGTTCAGTAGAACTAGCACACACACACATACATTTGGATTGTTTTGGAGTTAGATTTTATTGGTGTCAGCCTGCATGTGTGTGCGTTTTGTGCTACACCTTGTGACCTCTGGTTGAAAGGTATTTTAGAAATGTAAATTATTATTATTTTTCACAAGTACATGTGCCTTATGCAAATTTATGACATAGAAGTACATGTTTCATGGAGGTGTGTGCGTGCACATTGTGTAATGCTTTTTTTTTGCAGGCCTGTTTTACACATCATCACAATCATCTCTACACTTATATGCTGTTTATAGCGCCTTTAAATTAAGATCGTGGTTCAATGTGTGACTCATATCATCCACAGTGTGCGTAGTTCACAAATAACTCACATTATCTAATAGAAAGCCAGATATAATAGCTAGGACACCCCACAAAATAAATTGAGCGTAAAATAATAAGAACATTAATGTAGTAAGAACATTTCACATCACACATTTCGTGGTATAACAAAAAAAATGGCAGTTAAAATAAACAATAGTATATTTCAAGGAAAGTTACTTGAAAAAAGGAAAGTTTACATAAAGTGTGGCCGGTTGAGTACAATCCTGCGGACATCTTATAAACACATTTTTGTAGTTTCCACAGCCATGATTAAAATCCATATTTCAACTTTATTCGGATGTGATTGCATCACCGGCCGTTTCTTACAAACAAGCATTTGTAGTGTGCTGTGAATAGCAGTGTGCAGGCATACATCATATACCATGGACAAGAGCGGCTGCCTTGCACAGACAAAGTTACGCATACTTGTCCCATGCAGGTGCTCATGTGCGGTGCGAGTGAGTGCGGTGTTCCGAGCCTAGGCCAGGTGGACGGCTTCAGGGCAAAGCACCACTTGAGCTTTATGTGTCAAGTGGTGAGCTACATAGCATCACCATGAGGCATCCAAGTCTTTGAGTCAATAATCGCGTGACTTGGTGCATATGTGTGTGGTAGTGTCGTGGTTAGGATGGGGAGTGGTAATGCAACGGTTAGCGTGCTGCGTAGCTACGAAGCCGGTGACCCGAGTTCGATTGCCGCTTACGGTCAACACCAGTGACGATTATCTGAACCGGTCCTGGACCACCCCTAGGTCGACTCGGCCTCAAATGAGTACCTGGTGCAGTGTGTAAACATAGCCACTTAAGAAGACAAAGGCGGCCGGGCGTGGTGCTGGCCACCCACCCCCTCGTGGTGCCGTGCCAGCTTTCATAGGTGCACGCTAACAGCTTTTGCCCCAACAGCCTGTTAAGCCTATACAGGAGATCTTTGTTTGTGTAGTGGTTAGGGCTCTGCGCGACCAACCCGGTAAGCCGAGATTGGTTCTCGTTTGTGGCTTACATCAGTAGCGAATATCTTAAGTAGTCCTGAACCTCCCCTGGGTCGCCTCAGCCTTAAATGAGTACCTGGTGCAGTGTGTAAACATCAACTTTGACGAGACAAAGGCAGCTGGACACGGTGCTGGTGACATTACGCCCTCATACACCGTGCCAGCCTTAATTGGTGCTCGCTAAGGGTGCTTCTCACTGCAGTCTGAGGATGCAGGGATCCGTCTTTGTGCGATAAAAATAAGTCAAATGTAACCAGCGCATGTCTGGATTCTAAGTAGACCAGCATTAAACTATCAATATAAAATTACCTTGTGAAACCTATTTTATTGTTCAAATGTCAAAGCAATGTATTCTAATAACTGGCATTAAAATGTTTTGTTTGTAAATTCGAAATTAATTTTGAGTAGGCCAGAATATCCTCTAAGTCAGTCATAATGTGCAAATCGTCCAAACGAGCTATGCAGTGGAGCATTATGAGCACAGATTGTACAAATGTTTAACCTAATTTAGTTTAACCTTGATTGAAGTGGAATTTGTGCATGTCCTAATGCGAATTGTAATAGATAGCATCTGTCTTCGTGAATTTTACTTACATCTAATCATAAGTTCAATGACAGTGACATGCACGTTATCAATTTTTGTGAATCATGTTAGAGCTGCGAGATGTGGCAGTTGTAATCTTGTTTGCGATATTTGTCCTTACTCCAAGAGACATCAATAATGGCACTGTGCCTTTATTATAGCAGCAATATTCGACTAATCTCAAATAGCCTTTGCCAGAAATTTTATAAAATGAGGCAATCATTTTTCTCAATGTTGTCTCAAGTTTTGTACGGCAATCATCGCCTGACCTTCCTGGGCTACTCATTAAAATTCTAAATTTCTAAGCAGAATTCCAGTGCTTTATATTCATAGGGCCAAAGTACTTTTGATAGCCAGTTGATTGTAAACGTATCGGTTGTTATTCACTTCAGAATATACTGTAGTACAGTGAAACTCCTCTTATCTGTGGCCATATTTTCCACCGCTATTTATATCCATACCTCCATGTAATTTGGAGACACTCCTGTAGGCTGAGTGTTGTGTCTTAACCACCTCGCCTGGTATACAGGAGCTTCATGGTTTCGATCCCGACCCTGACGCCTGCTGTATATTTGGAGTTTGCATGTCTCTCTCCCCGTGTTTGCGTGGATTTTTCGGGTCTTCCGGATTTTCCCTCCACATTAAGAATCAACAGGCATTTAGAGTATTTGGGTGCTATACATTTCCACATGATAAGCCACTTCGTTGAGCTATCATTTGTGGTGAGGTTGCTTTCGAAATAGAGCTATATAGCTCAGTGGGCCTTGCCTGGTCAAATAAAAAATGGTAATAAATACAATTTAAAAGAGTCGTGGTTACATGTGGGTGAGAGGAGCCACTCAGCAGTAGTGCCAAATTAATTCTGTTATCCACAGTTACCCATGGATAAGAGGCCCTTGGAAGTGGTGGAAAGCTAATCCTATTGTTCATCTTAATGCACCACGCAAAAGTCTGGAATTATTTTCGCAGATTGGCACCGGATAATTGTATCCATCAATGGAGTACCCCGGCCCCCACACACCAATGTTGATCAGGAGAATTTCACTGTAAAAGTCAGGCGATGTAGGGTGTGTGCGATCGTTTGTTACGGATGCACAAGTTAAACGGAAACAAATGTTGCAGTTACACAACTATGAAAGCATAATGAGCAACATGAAGTGCACAGTTTGTTAGTGGAGCGTGACACCCACCCTGTCCGTGTAGCCGGAGGTGAAGTTAACTCACTGATTAGGTGTTGAGAGAGAAGTCTTAATGGAGCAGCTGTTCAACGGGGTTTGGCAGGAACAAGGGTCAGGGCAGGTGTTTGTCAGCATCAATAGAGGATACAATATTTCACTTAATTTTTTTGTGTTGGGATGGCTCTTGTTGGCTGCCTACAAGGAGGGGGCAAGTGCCTTTACACAAGGACACTTCCCACTACTTAAAGGCACTCGCCAAGCACAAAAAAAGATCATCGCCGCCTCTCGTTGCCACGCAAAAAGGGGGCTTTTGGGAGTATCGTGTGGCCCTGGAGCTCTTAAAAGAGAAGACTGCGGCTTTCTTATCAGCTCTTGCGCATTGATGGCGAATTTGGTAATGGTTCGCAATCCTCCAAATTCACCTTCTCCCTTTCTGCACTTTGGGTTCTATCTCTGAATAAAAAAAACACAAATACCGCACAGCAGTGCCATAGAGAAATGGTAATGTCATTGTAATGAAAACCCTTTTGGCCATAAGTGATGGCTATCTTTGCTGCGCGTCCATCACAAGCCCCCTTTTTACCAGGCGAGAAGAGAGACATGCCCTCATGAGTCCGGCCTGGGAGACCTTGGGTTCGGTAACCTTGGGTGGTGTGCTAACCACTTTGGTGTTGCATTACAGACATGGGAAGAAGCTCGAATAGCATTGCTTCCTGAAGCGCCATGCTGTCATATCTTGAGCGTGTTCTTCAGAGAGGGCCTTGATAGCTCAATCGCCCCGCTCGGGAGTGTGTTATAGGCGCTCATGACTGGCTCGGGGACACATTTTTGCTGTCCGAGTTAGAGGCTCGGCAGTTTGAAAACTCAAACCGGTTGCAAGGCTCTGACCGAGTGAAAATCATAACACTTGGCTGGAACGTTACACAGAGGCACCCGTTACTTGGTTGATTTAAGGCATCCCCTAACACTGAACATTGGTAAGATCGCTATGCCACGGTGGCTTTTTAAATCCAAGTTTTTAAAAATGTACATCAACAAAGTCAAGTAACTCAAATTGCCTCCCCGTCCGCGTGAGTGTGAGGCCATGATAATTATCTGTGTTGGTGGCAACTGAGCATCTGTGGAATTTCCAAATTGCCTATTGCGGTAACCACTCTCCACATGAAGACCATTGATGATTTCCCACTAAGCAGTACTCATTTCATGAACCCAATAATGGTGATGAGCTCAGAACAATTGTAGATTTGTCAAATTAATTTCTATAGAGCCATTGATGACCAAGTTAAAAGCAAAATTTCACTAATCTTGATAATAGTTTTTTCACCTTTTATCTGGCAACAAAACTGACACCTTTTTTACAAGGAGTCATGTTTGCATTGACCAAAATACCTGCAGTCGGAATGCAAACAAAAAACACAACTCTGATAATATATGCATTGTCCTTGAAATTGATTGGTCCACACCCGAGACAGCTTTCCTTAGAGCCTAGTCTCACATGGTGTTGGACCAGATGACGCCAAAAGGCGCACAACTCAAAAACAATGCACCATCAGAGTATGATAGCTCGGGGTAACCATTTACACCATTGGAACCGCATTTGCCAGTAGCAAAATATGATACTTATCATATTAGCAAAATATGATACTTATCATATTTTGCTAATGGCAAATGAGGTTTCACTAATCTTGGTTCGAAATGTAATCATGAGTTTTGAATATAGGATTCGAATCCAGGACCTTATAATTGGATGCTCGCGGCTCCAATGCAGTCATTAGGTCCCTGAGCATCACGACTTAATTATATCGGTTAAGTTAGCTGTCAATCTATTTTCATTCATTTTGGAGGTTTTCAGATTAGGCGTAGAGCCATAAATCCCCCACACA